ATGGAAGCTGTTCTATCATTGCTGCAGTTGGGCTGGGTATTGTTTTTATCTTTTTTTAAACTAAGAACATTCAAAGTTGTTGGATTTAAACCATAAAGAAGAGGACTAAGGAAGACCAGAAACTCTGGAAGGACTAGCCCTGTGGACACGCGTATCTGCTCTGATGCAAACCACAGGCCAAGCCTCCACCGGGAACATCCGGGTGTCCGTGTGTCACAGTAAATCAGCTCAGCTTCCCCACCCTGGCCGGGGAGAGCATGAGAACAAAGGACCAGAACAGGCAGGGCAGTCATGGGGGGAGAAGAGAGCCATGTGAAGCCACAAAGCAGCCACGGATGGTCTGTGGTCAGGGAGGGGTGCGCCTGCTTGTGGGTGGGGGTTCAGGGGATGTGAGCTGAGGCTAGCCCACAGGCAACCCAGAGGAGCAAGGAGTTCCCACAAGCCACCCTCAGAGAGCCTCCCAAAATGATGACCTTTTGAAGGAACTGTGAATTTCTTTAATCAACTGATTGCCTTGGTGTCTAAAACGCCTCATTTAGCAAGGCTTGTTCTGGGCTGAAACTGAATAGGTGTAATTGACAAATGCTTGAATTTTAACTTCACTAGGGGGTGGGGGTGGTGGACAATACCTGTCCACTGGCTTCTCAACAGCAATTATGGGGGAAATGGCACATTGTAAGGGTTCTTCAGTTTGGGGGTGGATCATGACTTCCCCTACAACCCTCTGCACCCCCTTCCTCTGGGCACAGTTTCCTCTCTAAGATAATGGTAGAGATCTGGCTTGCTTTTTTCTTGAGAGGCCCCAAGGCCACAGATGAAGCAGCTGTCAAAGAACTAGGCTGTAATCAGCTTTAACTGGCTCAGGGCAGGCGGAGGGCCAGGGCAGGCCGAGGGCCCAAGGCTCTCATTCCTACAGAGGCACGCTGTGCCATGGGCCCTGAAGTAGGGCACGGGGGTGTCCTGAGTTTCCAACATATCCAAGATTTCAATCACATGACCTTGCAGGTCCCAGGAACTGAAGCATGCGAGCAGAAGAGAGTGACTTAAAGTCCCAGAGAATGACTTCATCATCATGTAACATGTCACTCCTCCATCCCCCAACATGATTCCAAAGGACAATAAAATCAACGAGACAGGAAAAGGAAAAGTTCAATCACAACTTAAAATGGGTTGTCCAGGTGATTCTGAAATGCTCCAAGGTTGCTAGTTAAGAACAGTATCCCTTCCCTCAGTCTAAGTGGCATTATCCCTTCTCACAGTACTGGAAACCAAGTGTCCGTGTAAGGTGGAGCTCAGGAAGGAGCGGGGAGGCTGCTGGGTACACAGGCGGCCAAAAAATAGGGGTTCCCTATGCAGTTGAGCTGTTGCAGTGTGCCAGGTCAGCTGACCCCCTCCCATCGCCCCACACATCTATTGTCAAAAGATATGGGCTAGATGAGACTCAAGTCACCATATCTGTACCACACAGAAAAAAAATAAAAAAAGAAGAAAGAAAAGGCACTCACTCAAATCTTACAATGGGAGGTGGGGGTGGTAGGTGGGTAAGGGTGGGGATAGAAAAGCAAGGGGGGGGGGAATCTAAAACAGCAGGATACGACAATAAATGGAAAAACAGCAAGAGAAAAAGCACACTAGGTTAATATAGGAAAACTAGTTCTTTATTGAGAGATTGTATATTAGTATTAGTGGATTCTGTGTGTAACAATGTCATCATGCACACGATACAAAAAAAAAGGCTGGGCCCACCATGCTTCGGAAGGGCAACAGAACAAAAGCAGCGTACAATGGTACAATGAGCGGATGGCCCGGGTACACGACCACAGTACATTTCAGCAGGGGGACGCCTCTAACCGAGCGCTGTACATTGTCAACTGGGGAATGTCAAAAAATACAGATCATGCTTTAGTTTTAGTACAAGAAAAGGTGAAAAGATACACAACCAAAAGGATATTTGATACAGAAAAAATTACCCACAAAATAAGAACAGGAAGTAATTCAGCACAGCAGAACACGCTATCCCTGTTTAATGGAAAACCGTTTTGCAGGGGAGTTCTTTTTTTTTTTTTTAATTTCCCCCCCTTTCTCTCTTTTTTCAGATTGTCAAATGGCAGTCTGCGGAGGCTGCTTTGGGACTTGATTTTTTGGAAAGGGCCCTCGAAGGAAGGGGCCTTATTCTTTCTTTGATTACTGCTGCGGGTTTTGTTTCCATTTTTCAAGCAGGTCTGGCTGGCCAGGCGGCAGAAGGGAGCCGGCTGTTAAAGGGACAGCTCTGAGGGCCAGGGCGGATGGCCAAAGATGCTCTCAACATTGTACAATTAAACAGTTAAGACGCCATGGAAGCGGCTTCCCCTTAAGCCAGGGACCTTTGTGCACCAAATCATTACCCACATCTGTCATTTCTCCAAACATTTTGGTTTTCATGGACATAGACTCAAATTTAAAGTTGGATTTTGGTTTGGTTTTTTGTTGTGGTGGTTTTTGTTGTTTGGTTTTTGTTTGGGTTTTTTTGCCTCCGACTAAATGCAATCTCTTCAGTTATGCCTGGTGCTGCCAGGAGCTGATAGCCACCCAGATAACGAGATATGGGGTGCAGCAGCCTCTAGGCTGAGGCAAAAGGAATCCACTTAACAGGGATTTACAGTGCAATGTACTTGGCTAAACAAGATGAAGATACAAAAATGGTTATTTGTCTACATCTATTCTGAAATGGCCTACATCTTATACTACTACAATGGAAACTAAAAAGAACAGATCTAAGCTGGCAGGCTAGCTAATAGTTTTACAAAAAAGATTGTGGTTTAGGACCTTGTTGGGTTAAGCATTAGTATCCTCTATCGAAAGGTCACGGGTTCTTGTCATATTGTGCTACATTTGACCCCCAGCCCAACTCACCCCTCAGCCCTTGGATTTCCTGTGGGCGTGTTTGCCATGAAAAGTAAAACTTTGACAAACGGGCAGAATTTGTTTTGTTGGGTTTTCCCCCCGTTGTTGTTGGGGTATGGGGGTAAAGGGGGAGATGGGAATTAAAAATAAAATTTAAACGCAGCTGAGCAATTTGAATTTCAAAACATGGAACCAGCATCATGCAATGGTATTTAGAGATCGGTGGTATTAATGAGGATGATAATGATTTAATCAGGATAATTATCCTTTCAGGCTCAACATCCTTCTTAATCATTTTTGAATTTCTGCCTAGTATAATGTTCCACACCCGTTTTAAAAGGAAATGCCAAGTAATAAGAGATAACTGCGTATTGGGGGAGGAGGTTGGCATGTGGGGGGGTCATGCAAGGCCCCCCATTCTTGTCTCTCATCTAGCACCCCCACCCCCCACCAAGGCTAGGCTGGCCTGAGATAGGGGATACTGCCGCTTAAATAGCAATGCCTTCCTCAGATGGAGACAGGAAATGGTTAAGAGGGGTGTCACAATACAGCTAAATGCGGAGGCAGAAGGGTCACAGCGCACACAGCAGCGAGTTGACCATTCACTGAGCTACACAATGAAGAAAAAAAAAAGATTTGATAAATGCAGAATGTCATCATTCTATCATCACACACAAAAAAAACTGCGGTTCAAACAGCCCTAAAGGGGTCAACCATGCCTTTCAGGTTCTGGGGAGAGGCGTGGGGCTGGGGACAGCTGGGCTGGAAGACAGAGGGCCGGCCTTCCCTTCCCTTGTCCAATCGGGCCCCTGGGGCGCACTAAAGTGCTGGCCCTGCGAGCCCACCCCCCTCTCGGTGGAGGAGCACCCCCCTGCGAAGGGAAGACATCCTTGGGGTGGTGTGTGTGAGAGAGGGGGTTGGGGGAGGAGGGCCTTAGCCTGCAGGGATTTAAGCAGACTGGAGTGGGAGAGGATAGAAGAAACATTTCCAAGAAGAGAAATGTGAGTCCAGAGGCAGAATACAAAAAGGAAGAAGAAAGGAGGGGAAAAAAAATCTAAAATGCATCTTGGATTTGCTTGGGAGGGTGGGGATTTTTGAATAAAAGAAAATGGAAGAAATGTGGGGGGAGGTGTAGGAGAGGGGGGGAAATAAAGCTATTGTTGGAGGAGAATGTAGGGGAAAGGGAATGTGGGGAAAGGGGACCGTGCAAACACACCTCATGTATCACAGTTAAAAACAAAGCCTGCCAGCCGCCGGCCTGCTGCTTCTTCAAGGCCTGCGGGGTAAAGGCCTGGCAGGAGCAGCTTCCACCCCAGCCTCACACACAGCGCAGCACCCAGGGACCAGACATCCCGCTCCAGCCGGGCCCAGGGGCGCACAGCAGTCCACGTCTGACTCTCCGAGGCGCGTGCACACGCGGCCACACATGCATGCACACTCGTACACACACTTACACAAGCATCTTGAGTCTGTATAGGCAACTGTCATACAAAGACAATTGCTGAGGGGCAGGAGTGGGGGTGCGGGGCCATGGCACAAGGGTGATACATAAAAAGGGTTAAGGGGAGGCAGGGATGGGACGGGAAATCGTCCAAGTGCCCACGAGAAGAAGGGGGCTGATGCTCGGGATGGGGCAGACACCCGGATCCCAGGTAACCACCAGCCATCGGTACCGATGACCAAAAAAAAAAATATTAATAGCACAAAGAGTACAAAACACACATACACCTCAAAAAGAGGCACACCAAGCATGCTTCCACACGCGCGCGCGCGCACACACACAGTCAGGAGCCTGTCACCTTCTCCCGATCATCCAGGGCTAGGAAGTAGGGGAAGGGGCTGTGATCCGGGGTACTACGCCCGCCGCAAAGAATAAAAAATGGGGTTGGAGAGGGAGGGACCCATTTACCAGATCCTAACTTCACTACAAAAGCTCCCACGAGGGCGGCCACCCCCACACTCGGGGTCCTCCCGAAAGGGGGTGGGGAGAAGCCACAGCTCACCCTACGTCCCCGCGGGTGTGCCCGCGTCCCTCGCCACCCGCCGCGCCCTCCCCCGCCACCGGTGCCCGCGGCGATCCCCGCTCCGAAGCTGACCCCGAAAGGAAAAAGCGATACCTCTGTTTCGCACAGAGCCAAACACTGGAAGCACGAGATAGCCGACGTGGACCAGGACCATCCTGGCTCCTCGCGCGGCGGCGGCGGCTGCGCGCGGGCCCTTTGTGGCGCGGCTCC